GCTGGTTCCCAAGGATTCCCGGGACGCACAGGCATCCCAGGAGCGGCGCGAGCGGTGATGCAACGCCAGCTGAATACTCCTCGGCGTGGCGGTGCAACCCCAGCTGTGTCGACCATCTGGACGTGCTGATGGTGCAACCCCAGCTGTGTCGACCATCTGGACGTGGTGACGGTGCAACCCCAGCTGTGTCGACCATCTGGACGTGGTGACGGTGCAACCCCAGCTGTGTCGACCATCTGGACGTGGTGACGGTGCAACCCCAGCTGTGTCGACCATCTGGACGTGGTGACGGTGCAACCCCAGCTGTGTCGACCATCTGGACGTGGTGGCGGTGCAACCCCAGCTGTGTCGACCATCTGGACTGGTGACGGTGCAACCCCAGCTGTGTCGACCATCTGGACGTGGGTGACGGTGCAACCCCAGCTGTGTCGACCATCTGGACGTGGTGACGGTGCAACCCCAGCTGTGTCGACCATCTGGACGTGGTGACGGTGCAACCCCAGCTGTGTCGACCATCTGGACGTGGTGACGGTGCAACCCCAGCTGTGTCGACCATCTGGACGTGGTGACGGTGCAACCCCAGCTGTGTCGACCATCTGGACGTGGTGACGGTGCAACCCCAGCTGTGTCGACCATCTGGACGTGGTGACGGTGCAACCCCAGCTGTGTCGACCATCTGGACGTGGTGACGGTGCAACCCCAGCTGTGTCGACCATCTGGACGTGGTGACGGTGCAACCCCAGCTGTGTCGACCATCTGGACGTGGTGACGGTGCAACCCCAGCTGTGTCGACCATCTGGACGTGGTGACGGTGCAACCCCAGCTGTGTCGACGATCTGGACGTGCTGATGGTGCAGCCATAGCCGTGCTGACGATCTGGATGTGCTGACTGTGCAGCCCCAGCCGTGTCGACGATCTGGATGTGCTGACTGTGCAGCCCCAGCCGTGTCGACGATCTGGATGTGCTGACTGTACAGCCCCAGTCGTGTCGACGATCTGGACGTGCTGATTGTGCAGCCCCAGCCGTGCTGATGATCTGGACGTGCTGACGGTGCAGCCCCAGCTGTTCTGAGGATCTGGACGTGCTGACGGTGCAGCCCAGCCGTGCTGACGCTCGGGACGCATCACTGGGGACAGTCGACGGTCGCGAGGCGTACGTCGTTGGGGCGCGCCCTGACACGCAACAAAACGGCTGATGGGAGGAAGGCCACTGGAAACGAGATGGCTTGAAGATCAGTCCCGGCGCTTGCCACAGTTTTTTACGTCGTATTTTCTTCGGACCAGTTTCAGACTTCTAACACTGGCCAGGTAAGGCAAAACTCGGATCCAGGATTCCCACCCACTCGGGATTCCCCATACTCGTGGAATCGGATATGCTCTATGTTGAAACAGCTGTATTGAAAAGTTAACCAGCATTCTATGTTGCGCCCATTATCCTGCAGTAAACAGGGCAGATGTATCGGACGAGGACCTGCCCCATTGAGTTAGCCAGTAGCGTCAATGTTATGCTTTTCGTTCCCAAAAAAGAATAACAACGTTGGTTTTGTGCCTGTTTGGGCCCTATGGTGCAGCCCTATGGCTCTTTCACAAGCAGGGGCAAAGCCAAGACCTGCAAATACCAATCAGAAGGCTTCTTGCATTGGTAGAGGCCCCGGGAATATTACACAGCCCCTGTGCTGCTCAGGGGCCCACAGTGCCAAACAGGGGACCCTGTGCCGGCAACGAGCACAAGTCGGTCATGGGCACATTTGCTGAACATAGGCGGGGACTGGACCCCGAATGTTTCAGGGCCAGACCCACTGTTGTGTTGGTCTGGACTCACTCGACAATGCAAGGAGATGAGAAATGCCGATGTAAGGGTTAACATCCAATGTGAGACTGTGGAAATGTTCTGGGTTCATCGAAGGCCCCATTTTCGAAAGAGAGGCCCTCTGCACCATTTTAAGCAGGGGCCGACAAGCTGAATAGGTCTCGATGTCAATTAAGGCACCCCATGCGCTTGTAAGAGATTTTTTGCATCACTGAGGGACTCTGCCTTTTTCCCGCGTCAGATATTTCTGTCAGAGTGGCAGCGGCATCAGAAAGGTGACCGGCGCATAATACATATTCCTCTGAGGACCTCCGCATCGACCAGGGGGTCCCTGCCCGCGTATCGCCGACGTGGCAGTTGCTGGGGCCTTCGGGCTGGGATGGTAGGTTGCTCGGCTTCTGACCAGAACATTTACCTGTGCAGTTTTGAGGTTGATTTTCTGGGTGTCTGGGGTACGGTGTTGCTCTGCCGGTGTTTGGAGTACCGTGATGCGCTTCTGGTGTTTGGGTTACGGCGTTGCTCTGCTGACGTGGCAGCGCTACCTGTGCCGCATTTCTGCACCCGTTGTGCTGTGCGTATCTGTCCGGCTACTATCGGTGAAAGTTACATGACATTGCACCGATGTTTGGCACCAGAAGCCTTGTATACCCTGCTTGCAACGTCCGTCCCAGCAGCATTTGTTCGTTTGCATGGTTGCACGTTTTTTCTTCTCCTTTTGCACGTTCTCACGGTTGACACGCTTGTTATATATATATATATATATATATATATATATATATATATATATATATATATATATATATGTATGTATTGCCATCTATTTGCCTGCCAAAAGACCTTGATTGACCTCGGCCGGTGTTCGTCACACGCCGTCCGATGCCGCATCACGTGACGGCCGTCCGATGACTGGGCAGTCAGCTGAAGCAAACAAGCCATTATGCCGTGGGATTTGTTAGACACGCGCACGTCCTGGCAGACCATGAACCTTATCTGCTGTCGATCTGACGACCGAAGGGTCGAGCCGAACCGAATTCCCGAAAAGATGGTGCAGACGTTCGCAAGGCTATCTGGCGATCGGGCCGGACGGCGCTGGCGTGTCGGGGGAGGGGACTGACGAGCGTCTCGCATGGCGTCGTGTTTGTCTCGCGCATCGAGCCGCGCGACCAGCACCGCCGGCCTGAAGCCGGCCACGTCGAGTGCAGGCCACGCGCCCGCCGGCAGCCGTGTGCGCCGGCGGTCGAGAGCAGAGATGGGCTGCCGTGAGCCGCGGCAGAGACCATCCGTGAGGGATGGAAGACTCATGTCAGTGTGCCGAGCGTGCTGACCGGTCTGTGAGGCCCGCCAACGAGTGTGACGGCGCGAACCACGCGGCGCTGGGCGGCCTGGCCTTTCTGCTCTTGACGGAATTGAAAAAGATGGCCTTACGCTTACCAAGGGCGTTTTCCTGAGATCACGTCTTTGTTATCAGAGGCGAATCTTGCGAGTCGATGATTTGAGCATTGGACGCTATTTAAGCATTTGAGATTAGATTGGCATTTCCCGAACAGTTATTTTCATTGTGTTTTCTGTGTGGCTGCCCAACAAAACCAATATGTACTTCGGGGTTGGACGTACCAATGTTTTATGTACCAAGTTGGACCAAAATAAAAACGCCACTATTATAACCTCCGTAATGTCTTGCACCATCTCCCAGAAATAAAGTGAAAAATGTATTTCTTTACAGGTTCCTTCGCTGGTCAGGCTACATCACACTTATAGACATTCAGGTTGCGACGAAGTCGCTTTACATGGCCTATATCTCCCTACCAGAGTCGCCATAAACGTGAAACATGTGCTCGAGAACAAAACAGGGAGAGGCGATTGACGAAAACCCCCAACTTTAAAGGAAGTTCACGTTACGCCGATAGCATAGCATGGATCGAAACGTCTCAGACAGCCGTCTCGATGTCCTCGCCTTTGGACCGCGGCTGAGACTCATGAGCAACGTTACAGCGCCGACTACATGGGAACCTCTGGCTCTGTGCCAAGGCTGCTGAGCAGGTGTACGTAGTTCATCAACTCTTGGCGCGATTTGCAATGAAAACTTTCGGCACGCGTTCTGACATCGCTGATTGGAGGCTTACTCTGTTGCCTGGGTTCTGGTGGTTGACAAGCAAAGGAAACACGTTGTGGCTGGGGGTGCTGATAACTGACACACTGAATGAGAACTCCCTGTCGTTCGAGGAACTGGTGACTGACGCCGAGGTGGGGAGTTCACCATCGCTAAAACCACTGGCGGCTGTCACACTGCTTGGGAGCCCTGTGTCTTTTTAGTTCGCCGGGGCTTTAACACGCTGTTGGGGAGCTTTCTGTCGATGGGAGTGCCGATGTTAAACTCAATACCGAAAGCGTTTTTTCGCTGGTCGCACTGTTGACCGACTCACTGCCTGGAAGATCTTTGTTGCTGGGGTTAACGGTGACAGACTCACTGCTGGCGAGCTCTCTGTCGCTGGGTGTGCTGGTAACAGACTCACTCATGGGGAGCTTTTTGTCGCTGGGTGCGCTGGCGACACACTCACTGCTGGGAGCTCTCCGTCGCTGGGTGTGCTGGTGACAGACTCACTTCTGGGGAGCTCTCTGTCACTGGATGCGTTGGTGACAGACTCACCGCTGGGGAGCTCTATGTCGCTGGGTGCGCTGGTGACAGACTCACCGCTGGGGAGCTCTATGTCGCTGGGTGCGCTGGTGACATACTCACTGCTGGGGAGCTCTCTGTCACTGGGTGTGCTGGTGACACACTCACTGCTGGGGAGCTCTCTGTCGCTGGGTGTGCTGGTGACAGACTCACTGCTGGGGAGTTCTCTGTCGCTGGGTGTGCTGGCGACAGACTCACTGGCGGCGATCTCAACAGTGCTGGACTTGAGGCTGGCCAACACATCGCTGTTATCGGAGACCAACACACCCAGGACGGTATCGGCGCTGCGAGCATCAGGAGACCCGTCCGCCAAGCCGCAGGCCGCCGAGCCCTCCGTCGGCTCTCCGCGAGGTCCCGGAGCTGGGGCCACCTCACCGCAGCGAGCCGGCTGAGCGGCGCTTCCGCGCCTCGTCGGTGGCGCTTCGCGCGAGGTGTCGGTCGCGCGCGGCGGGCGGTACCAGCGGCGCGCGACCGACCCCAGGTCGTGCCGGTACCGATGTGCAGAGCGAACCTCACCATGCTGCACCATGTGATCAACCAGCGACGCGATGAATGCGTCGGCCCGAACAGTGGTGGTGTCGCAGACGACGACCAGCTGGCGGCGCGCGCGCGTCACCGCCACGTTAATGCGGCGCCGGTCGGCCAGGAAGCCGACCTCGCCGCGGCGGTTGGAGCGCACCAGCGACAGCAGCACGGCCTCCCTCTCGCGACCCTGGAATCCGTCCACCGAGCTGACCTCGACGGGAAGCCGGAGGTGGCGCAGGCGAGTGCCGATCAGCTCCACCTGGCGTGCGTACGGCGTGATGACGCCGATCCCGCCGGCCGACAGCCCGTCCCTCAGCAGGGCGACCACGCGCGCTGCCAAGATGCCCGCCTCGCCGTCGTTGCCGCGTGAGCCGGTCTTGGCATGTCGCGTCTCCTGCGGCCGGCAGCCGGCGGTGTCGATCAGCAGCAGGACGGGGCCCGTCTCCACCGTGTCTCGAACACCCGACAGCTGCGACAGTCGGTGCCGGCGCACGGCCGGCGCCGCCTCCAGCAGGCCACCGTACATCGCTTCCGACGGCCAGCGCTGGATCAGCTCGTGCATGCGGTACTGGGTGTGCAGCATGCGCACGGCCGCGTCGCCGTGCAGCGCCACCTGGCGCTCCATCAGCGATAGTGCCAGGCCCTGGTGGGCAGCCTCCTTGCTCAGGATGGTTGCTGGCAGCTGGTGGTGGTCGCCGGTCAGCAGCAGCTTCGCCGCGTACGGTGCCACCACCCAGCAGGCTGCCTCCAGCGCTTGCGAGCACTCGTCTATCACTGTCAGGTCGAATGGATTGTTGCCGACCTCCCGCAGAAGATCGTTGTAGACGCCGGTAAGGGTGCCGAGCACTACAGTGGCGCTTCGCAATATGGTTTGCGATGTAACTTTTGGTTGGGAAGTCATGCAAACCCGTCTATCCAAGCAGAATCGGTGCAGAGACGGCCTGATACGTCCTGGGTGGCCCAGACGCAACAGGTCTGCAGAGGCACCGGCCTTCCACAGTCGCTCCAGCAGGTTGTCGACGGCCGTGTTGGACGGCGCGCAAACCAGCACGCGATGGCCCAACCGTCGATGCTGCAGGATGATCTCGACCAGGAAGGTGGTCTTGCCGGTGCCGGGCGGGCCGTGGATGACGGCCAGCCGCCGCTGGCGCAGCGCGAACTCCACCGTGTCCCGCTGGCCGTCGCCCAGCCGCCGGTCGATCAGCCGCAGCCGGCTGTCAGCGTCCGTCAGCTGCGGGGGCAGGCGTGGCACCCGCTTCTCCAGCGGCTCCTCGGCGAACAGGGCGGCCCGCATGCGGCCGACATGACCGTCCGTCGTCGATGCCAGCCTCATCAGAGCCTTCTGCATCCAGTCGATGGTTGGATCACCGATCTTGGGCGTCACGGCTAGCACCTCTCCCGGGGCGATCCCTGGGTGACCCCTGATGACCAGCGTCAGCAGGTGGGAGGTGACGTCCGACACGACGGCGGGATATGTCGCGCCACCCGAGAGGCGTGCCACGTCGACCCGACCCCCCTTGTCGACGCAGAGCGCGGCCAGCGTGCGTCGGCTCCGTCGTCGGACCCGCTCTGGTACCTTCAGCGTCACCGTCACGCTGCACGGAGTCCTGCCGGTGTTGACGACCCTCGGCTCGGTCGGGCTGGCGTTCTTCAACCTCCGCTGCCGCTCGCGTCCCCGCTGCTCCTGGGCCTCCAGCTCCAGCAGGCGGAGGTGAAGCGTTACCAGCGTGGCGCAGGTCACCGGTTCTGGTGCGCCTCCCTGCCGTGACGCACCGTCCGTCATCCATTGTCATACCAGAAGCAGTCGTTTGACACTGTTGGAGACTAGCTACTGAATGAGTCAGATCAAAAGCCTGCATTCTAGGGTGATCCACAGCTTGCAATCTTAAATGTGGAACATTTTAAACTAATTGCCGATTGTGTGCATCATTTTCGTATGCCTAGTTGATACAAATACGTTTGTGTGGCATTACTGTATTGACTTACCGGTTCCTACCATTCATCTACCAATTTCACTTGTTTGTACTTCAAAGATGGTGGCGGAAATCGCCCGCAGATCTGCACAGAAATAAGTAAAATAAAGTCGTGCGCTGTGGTAGGATATTTTGAAGATAAACATCCATGGACTTTTGAAGCCGAGCAATGAAATTGGGCGTGTCCGTGGCCAGGCGGCTGCAATGGGTGCCTATGCATCCCCTAGAATCTGCTATGTAATCCTCCGCCCCCCCCCCCCCCCTCCCCCAGCCTCGTTCCGTGCAACCCCTGTACTTAAGGTAAAGGGTGTCTTACAAAGATTGGATGGAGCCCTTCCTTTTGTTAGAGCCCTCAGTAACCGTGTCGAGAAGTGTTGTTGTCAGCGCTTGGCTCATGCCAGACTCTCCACCAATCTCAAACCCCGTATTATTTGTCGAAATTGCGTTTCGAGGGATACTTAACCTCTTGTGTTGACATAGATTTCTTTTCATCTTAGATTTCCAAGTTTTCCAGCAACCAAGGGACATTCGATCGATTGCAGCAATCGCTTTCTAAGCGTTTTTCACGCGCGTTCAATGACGACTGACATTCACAAGCGCTTTTGAGTGTTTGTGGGTGCATGGTTGTGGTGCGAGCAGAAATGGCGACAAAGCCAGCCTTGACCTCGGCCTTGCGAAGCTGCAGCTTTTCTTTAACGATTTCGCTCTCGGCTTTGGGTCGTTTTTATGATTGGCCTTAATCTTGTGTCATTTTTATTGTTCGGTTAACCTTCGGCTTCAATTTTTTTGGTTTCAAAATAACGCTTTTGATTTGATGCGAAAATGAATGCTTTGTCATGGTGACTTTTTCATCAGTGGTGACCTTTTTATAAAGAAGCATACGCACCCGTCCTGTCACCCCAATAAGTAATGCATTACGTAACACTGCGTGGTTGCGGCGCATGCATGGCTCAAAGACGTAAAACATCATACCATCATTCTAATAAGTCCTGAACAGGCGTCAGGTGTCAATTACTTCAGAGTTTACATTCGGTTGGGGCTTCGACCTCGTGTTACTGATGACGGGTTGAACTTTGGCCTCGAGTTTGCTAAGTTGGGGGCTGCCGACTTCGGCTGCCGCCTGGGGGGTAGAAAGTTTGAATCCACTGGCTTCGAATTTGGCTCCCAGGGTTAAAATATGAAGCCACCGACTGAAATGATTGTGCATGAATCAGCTAAGGGCAAAATACATTCCAGCATAGAAGTGCACTGTTTGCCATTATGCGGAAAGGCAGTCGCGAAAGTTAATATTTACGTACTTTATTGCCCATCATCATTTGGTTTGTTGTTTTAGCGTGTCGTTCCTTTAATATGTCGACATCGGCGTGCACCATGCAGTTTTCGTAAGCCAAGAATGGACGCGCGTATCGGCCGGCCAGTGGATGTTGGCAGATAAATACCTTCTGAAGGAAGATTTCTCGAAAGATGTAATTGTACATAATGCATAGTTTCGTTTTGTCAGTCTTTCGCTCTTATTTAAATGGTGTTAGAGTGTCAGTCTGATTCGCCCCGAGCCTCTTCGTCGCATGACTGCCCCACAGAGCATAATAATTTGCAACGTTCGTAAATTCATTACAGGTTTTTAAACCCGGATAATATTTATAAAAAAACGGTCACTCGGACCGGAATAAAATGACAATGCATGCGTGCAAACCAAGATAACGAATCGTAGGCAGCGCGACAAACGGAACTAAGCTGGGATACAAAGGGGGCGGCGCGACGAAGGCGACAAGCAAATCTCATGTGGTGTTATCTTATCTCATATAGAGCACCGCCGTTCAGCGGTAAAGCCCCATATATTCATTCTTAGCCATTTTGAGTGCCTCATGTCATTTGATTTGTCTTCTCAAACTGAATTCAGTTATTTAAACCACTCGTCAAAATTTGCATTACCTTAAGCCCTTTCTTTAGCTAAAAACTTGCAAAAATTTCAACTACTGGTTTAAATAACCAAATTCAGTTTGAGAAGATCGATCAACTGACATCAAAAACGCAAAATGGCCAAACATAAGCATATGGGGTTTTGCCTTTAAACGGCAGAACAGGGAAAACCTTGCCATTGAATAATTCGAAAATTATCGATGGTAGACCCCAAAAATGTATATAACCTGAGCCAGTATGATGAGAGGACGGTTGATGTAGGTCCAGATGGGACCACCGTGCGAGGTGCGGCGGTGGCAAACTCTTCCCAATGTATTAGCATTGATTGGCTTAGCGTCATTTGAAACTTACGAAAGCAGCGAAGAATATCAGCCGCCGCGTGTTAATCAGTTCCACGTCTGCCGGTTGCGAACAGACGGATAGGATGAAAATCAGAATATGACGATCAGTGAAACGCACAAAATGCAAATTGAGTGACAACTCCAAAAAGAGATTCCTATGTCACGGTTTCTCCATGATATCGCATAAATCACAACGTGACGAGCGCTTGCGCGCGTCTCACCCTCCACGCATGCGCACTCAGCGGCGACAGCGCAGCAGGACAGCTGACCGACCAGCTCCTACACGATGGTAGCGGCCAAATCCAGAGCCAAGAGAGCTAAGTCAATATTCCCGCCGACAACAGCACATAATTTGTCGACAGCCTTTTGGCCAAGGACTTCCCGACCTGGAAGAACGATACCAAGATCGGACCTGGCTCAGCGAGCAGGTCATCCTGGCATTAAAAAAACTTCGCTGCTGATGTCAAAAACCGTAAACGTATGGAGAACCAGCATGGAGAAACAAAGACCTGTAGGTCCGTGGACATTGACCCAGGCCCAGAGGAGGAGGCTATGGACATCCCATTGGGGCTTCTCAGCAACCTGGAGCCGCCATAACTACCATCACAAAACTTGGTGTTTAAGCAGGGCGCGCCCATCATGTTCCTACGAAACCTGGATACCCCAAGCTCTGCAGTGGTCACCATTATGACAAACAAGGGCAGGGGAGCGAACGACTTCACCCCAAGAGCCACCTCCATCCCATCTGACATGCTCTTCGAGTTCAAGCGGACACAGTTCAGTGCTAAGCAGACATTCACTGTGACTACGAACAGGGGCCACGGCTGTCGTCTGGACGTAATGGGCCTTAACCCGACCGGGTTAGTGTTTTCTCTCCAGAGTGAACGGCCGACCTGCTCGTCCTGTCGCTGGAAAGCACGGCCCATAATGTGGTGCACAGGAAACCTCTTCAACCGTACAATGCGTTGGTGCCCGAAGTCAGCTGCAGCAGTATGGCTACGTCCACCGGTCTCCAGCCTGCCATCTGAGCTCTGCATAGTGCAGAGCTGTCATTTGAGTAGCCACTTTACTATTCCAGCCTGTCATTTGAGTTGCCACTTACACATTGACAAGCGTTTACCCACACTTACCCAACATGGCTTCGCGACCAGGTCGTCCTGGAACCGACAAACTTTGCTACTTGTAATATGAACTCCGAACTCCTGGATAGGCAGTGGGGAGAGACAAGATTCTGCCATTGGGTGGACATTACCCCAGGCCCAGGGGAGGCTGTGAACTACCCATTGGATTACTGGTACTGGTAGTGCACGTACAAGTACAAGGGTATCGCTAGTGTAGCTGCACATCTAGTAAACCAGAGGTACGGGGTTCGATTCCACGCGGTGCCAGCTCTTCCTGCTAAGGTGAGAGGTGAGCGACGTCAGATATCCTTAGCAGCTACATGACGTCTCGGCCGCCGGGCCGCGCGGGTCACACCCTCTCCGGGCGAGGCTTGACCCTTGGCTTGATGGTTCAACAACGATCCGGTGAAAAGGGGCAACCCGCTTCGTGTCAGAGAAATGGGTCGCCCCTTGCTGTATCTGTATTGCTCCGGCAAAAGATTTCCGACCGGCAATTTCATTGGCGCACATCTCACCACCAAACGCAAACGCAAATATGGGTTCCCACCACAAGCAAACTTATCGGACCAATTTTATGACAAAACCGAAAGCAATCATCTACGATGGTTTCTTCGAGGCATCTCTATATTAACCACCAAGACATCGCCAATCATCTCTGGGAGTCAGTCAGATTTATCAAGTTTTTAATTAATGTTGCTTGTCCTACCCCCGCAGCTTGTGAATCATAACAGGCTAACGCACAGCCGAGCTTGGCATTTCCACCTCACCAGCTTCTGGTCGCATATCCTTTTCCTTAACCCTACCTTTCTCGCTTCCTTATCCTCGCCCTTGTCTTACCATCCCTTTCATCTTCCCACATATGTACCCCACCGCGCCGGGTGCGTGACTCACAACCGAAATGTATGAAGGGACGGACTTGACAACCCGTTGCAAGCAATACAAGTTGAAATGGCGTTCAACACCATGCTGTTACGGTGCCTTTTGTAATGACTAAGTATCTTTCCTGTCGTGCCCTCTCAGCCAGCCCAGTATGCCTTACGCCCTAGAAAATATTTTAAAACGGCGCTGGACAAGCCGGAAATAAAGTTCCCACAGCTCGAAAAAAATGGATAGTATTTGCAGCAAACGTGCGTTTTGGTTGGTTCGCCGGTACACACTACAGAAATTTAGGCTGGCTATAGGCATGATATTATGCATGTTCCATTCTTGTAAATGATGTAACACAAAGTCAGTCAACACAAAAATTAAGCACTTTCATTTCGTACCAGATCGTTTTCTGGCCGCCATGTACATTCAACAGCTTTAAGCACAGTCAGGGCCGAAAAAAACACTTACATAGGCTTCCCCACTTCGTCTGAATAAAACATACGACGCACCCTGCGCACAAAATAGCATTTGGCCGCCGTGACGGTCCGCGCACACAAATTG